GTTTACAAGGCCAAAACTCAAAGTCAGAAAATATATTAGTTGCTAGAAATACAAGCAGGGTACATATATAAGTTTTTCTATTCAGATATAAATATTAACTCCTATCAATTCCCTTCATATCATTAGTGATAGGAATGCATTATAATATTCTGATAGATATGCGTATATTCTGCCAGTGCCCCAACTTTCAGAGACCCAATTTGTCACCTACTGATGACAGACTACCAAAACAACTGTTCATGGAGTACATCCTTTCCTTCCCACTTTCTTTACCTCCTCCATCGCCTGGAAACTGCCACTCCTTGCCCCATTTATCACATCACCCAAGTGCTGGTCAACAATGGTGTCTGGTGACACGAAGAGTCGGAAAGACAATGAAAACAATGGGAAGAAGCAAAATGTATGAAGGGTGATCCAAAATTCCATTGCGTATGACCACCACTCGCAAGGTGCTGATAGTCTCAACAGTAGCCACAAGGAAGGAGGGAATAACCCCATTTTATCTCACCTTCCTCACTCCATCCACTCATTTCTTTTAATGTTCTCTATCCCCTCTGCATCTCCTTTGCCACCTCCAAAACCCCTTCTTTCTTTTACTTTCCCAGTCCTGCACCCTTACCCCTCTTTCACACCATTGACCCTGCCTCTGGAAACGCTTTCCTCATCTCACATCTATATCATGCCGGTCCCTATTTAACCTTTTCTCTGATCCAAGGCCGTTGCAATCAGAAGTGAACATTGCTAGTTGCTACCACCACTGCTCAGCATGTAAATACACTCTCTGCCCAATTGCCAGGAGAAGGCAGTCATCTTCTCCAAATGGAACATCTAAACCAAACTTCATACAGAAACTTTCTTACACTATTGGGTAGGTTCTACATTCCTTATGAACATCATTAATCTTCAGATGCATTTGGGAATTAACCTTGGAACTTGATTATCGAGGATGATATTCTTGTCTACAGGAAAATGATTGCATATTCCATAAAAACCCACTAATAACCCAACTATAGACATAATCCTTCCTTGAGTTAGAGCCTTCCTATGTGAAATCCAAGCCTTCTGGGTCATCCTCAGACCCTGACACTCTTATCTCTATCTGTAAATCCACAGATAAAACTTAATTTACCACCCAGCATGACCATCCAAACCCTCCCACCTGATGCTCTGGGGAATGGGGGAATCCAGCCCCCATTAGGAATGGTAGCTAGGAAAGCAGTTCTCTCAGACAGCCAGGTTTTGAGTAGAAAAGGAGTGAAAGAAACCATTCAGAGCAGAGTTTAAGGATTATAGGGATTTTGCTGGTATTTCTGAACTTAACAACGAAACAAACCTTCCCTCAGTGCTGCATCCTACAGCTGTCATCTTTTTATTGCAGTAGTCCTAAGAAGCACTGCCTGTCCTCCTACCTCTGCTTTCTTACATCTTGGTCACTCCTGAGCAGTCCCTTCTCAGGCTTTCATTTCCCCCAGTTCAATGAAGCAACACTTGCTAAGGCAACCTACAGTCTCCATGTGGCCAAATCCTATGGCCAATTCTCAGTCGCTCATCCCCTTCTTTTTGAAACAGTATTTGACTTGGCTTCCAAAATACCACACTTTCCTCTTATCTCTGAAAGTTTCTTTCTTTNGTATTTGACTTGGCTTCCAAAATACCACACTTTCCTCTTATCTCTGAAAGTTTCTTTCTTTTTTTTTTTTACATGTATACAATGTGTGTTTATTCAGGATAATTTTCATAGTCATCATTGCAAAAAAATCATTCTTTGTGATGTGCAGATTTTTATCTCCTCTCTTCTAGTCACTTGGTTACATGCAGTAAAACATTATTGATTATAGATTTCTGGGTCAGCTGTACACCAATAGGGCTAATTTTTCCTATCTTGCTGTACTTTCACGTCCGTTAATCAGCCTTTTACTACCCTCCCTCTCCCTCTCCTCTTTCCCACCTCTAGTAACCGTCGTTATTTTCTCTCCATTTAACAGTTCAACTTATTATTATTATTTATTTGTTTTGTTTGTTTGCTGGCTTGTTTTGTTTTTTTAAAAATTTATTTATTTATTTATTTATTTATTTATTTATTTATTTATTCATTAAGAATATTTATGGAAGTTTCTTTCTTTTGCTGGTTTTTCTTTTTCTACTCCATGGCTCATTTTCAGGACCCATTATCTTCCATTTTTGTAGCCTCTCCCTAAGTGGTTTCATTCAGTCCTATAGTTTTAAATAATAACTCTGGAATAATGTCTCCAAAATTTGCACCTGAAGCCTCATTTAGCTGGTAGCCTATCAGACACNATCTATTTCTACAGGAAAACACAGTACAAATTTTGTCAGCCGATATGATCCCCGATTTAACAGCTGGATTCAACTCCCACCAATGCAAGAAAGGTAAGTGCTTATTTCTTGTGTCTGAACCATTTGTGACGGCTTTACAGGAAGCATGGGTGCTAGATGGTTTTCCATGGTAAAGAATGCTAAACTGAGTCAATGAAAGATGTAATTGGCAAAATACAAAACTTGGCCTGGCCAATTTAGGTCATCTGCCTTGTTAACTCAATAGAGAAAATAATCAAATAAGTCAATTATTTGTCCTAATTTAGGAAGAAAAAAGTTGTGTGATTTGTCTTCTTCTACTACATTGATTCGTGTTTTGCAAACAAAGCTAAAATTCCACTAGGTATATATCACTCTTCTTGGTGATAATATATTTAAATCCCAAAATCGAAATATAAAACACCATTCTCACAGTGATATGCATTTTGATGCAGAAATTTTAATATTAAATATTAGCTTATTCAATATTGTATTCAAAATTTAATATTGAATTTTAATATTTAAATATTTTATGTTTAAATATTTATTTAAATTTAATATTTCAATAGTAAATTGCAAATCTCACATCATTTACATTTGCCTCCCCAGATGTCTTCCCAGCATACATTTAAGAACAGGTCTTTCTCTTAGCTTTTTTTAAAAAACTAGTCTTGCAAAGTGTTATCTCATTTTTTACAGAGTGTTTGTATCACCCAAATCTCCTAGCTACCAAAGGACAAAACGGCTACTATCTTTTTACATATTTTGTCTCCCCTGGCTGTTACTCTGGCATGATGCCATATCTTTATATGCATATGCAAATTCGCAGGATAGATTTTAAACACTTGGCTCTTTTCAAGTAATATCTGGACATTCTCTTGAGCAAATTCTCCAATATGATAGTAACAATAAGCTGAAAC